CTGAAATCTTAACCCCCATTCGAGCATTTGTACAGACCGTCCAGGGAGTCCATGTGCTGAAAATGCCAACAGAGTCAAGAGCATTCTGAGGAAAGAAACCAAGAAAGGGGAGAGGTTGGAAGGACACCAATGGTAAGAGAAGGAAGAAAGGCTCGGTGGCTGCCTTCGAAGGTTTGGAAGGCTGTCCCGGAGAGGGGACCAGATGGATTAGGTGTTTGCTGTGCCAAAGAACAAACGAAGACCAAAGGAGAGACGTGAAGGGAGAGGAGTAGGAGGAGATTTTGGCTCAGGAAATAAATTTAACAGCTACTAGATAGAGATTAGAGGAAAATGACTTTCCCTTTCACTAAAAATATCCGCGGAGAGGCTGTTTGACCATCTGTTTGGAGTGCTATAGAAAGAATCCTTACAATAGTTGGTGGCCTGATTTGATTTTGTTGGGACTCTTTATACTAAATCCCACTCTTGTATGAATTCCTCTTGCATATCGTAGAGAACATATAACCCACAAACGCAGGCTAACGTCCCTACCTACTCTAGTCGAACTTCCATGTAATCAGTCAGGTCCTATTGCATCAATGTTCTCTTTCAGACCCAGTGTCTGTCATTTCCGCAGTTTTGTCTTTGTGCCCCTTGGACACGCACACTTCATATTCTTGTTGTCGGCAAGCATGTGACATGGATTTTTGCTCAGCGGGGTGTTGGGTTTTTTTTTTCCCCCGGAGTGCTCTTGCAAAGAAAATGATGTGGCCAATTGTTTATTCCGCGGATAGCCTTTTTCTGTCCCCAGAATATGGCCAACATATCTATGACTCACATTCACAGGACAGAAGGATTGTTCTGGCTTATGCTTTAACTTCTTTTGGCCAACTGGAGAGTTATTTATAAACATTTATTGATTTGGATTCATAAACCGAAGGCGGGGGGGGGAATCTTGCCGTGCTGGTTGCTATAGTGACTACCATCTCACACATGTACTCGCCAGCCAGCAGTGACAGCTCAGAGACTCAAAAACCCAAAGCCTACCTGTAGCTTCAAAATGCCTACTTATTTCTTTTACGTTTTTCATTGGAAATCAGCGATTTCCTCCACCAGCATCAGGTGATAGCATGTTGTACCGAGGCAGAAAGCAAGTTTTTTTTTTTCCCTTTGTTCCTGATGTTGTTCTTATAGTTGTTCTAGATGCATATAACTTCTAATCAAGTTTGCCTGTCAAATGTTAAAGAGGTCATACCCCAAGTGCAGCTCGCTGCCGTGTGTCCAGGGTGATATGAAAGAAATTTGGGTACTATTCTTGCTCTTCAAGGAACTTACAGCTGGGTCAAGGAACACGTATATAAAATAAGAGGCAGGCAACACAAGAAAAAAAAAATGTGCTTAAGTGCCAAGCTATGCCACACAGAGGGTTACGGAAGCAAAGTGTGCTGGGTGGAAAGAGACACAACGAGTTTGAACTGTGTGACCCAGAGTAAATAACTTTATTTTTCTGTAGCTCACTGAAATGAGAACGTCAGCCCATACTGTTGTCACAAGGATTAAATAAGAGAATAAATAAAATGCCTAGAATAGGAGCTCTGGGATGGCTCCATCAGTTAAGTATCCAGCTTCAGCTCAGGTCATGATTTCATGGATCATGAGTTCAAGCCCTGCGTCAGGCCCTGTGCTGACAGCTCGGTGTCTGGAGCCTGCTTTGGATTCTGGGTCTTTCTCTCTCTTTGTCCCTCCCCTGCTCGCATTCTGTCTCTCTCCCTCTCTCTCAAAAATGAATAAATGTTAAAAAAAATAATAAAATAAACAAATAAAATGCCTAGAATAATGTCAGACCCACAGCAAGCACTCAATTAATGGGAATTTTTGTGTTGAGATACTTTACTGAGATAATAAATTGTTTTGCTTTTTTGCCAGGAAAATATTCAAGAAGAGGTTCAAGATTTTATAATTTTGGGGCACTGTTTTAAGAACATAATAAAATCCATGAATGTATATATTCATATATACATGAATCAGGTATATGGAAGCACTATAAATTCAAAACTTAAACAGGCAAAAAAAAATCTAAAAATATAACATATTATTTTATATTTAATTGCCTGACATATGTCTCCAGTATTTCTCTCTACATTTTCTGACTATATACTCTTTGTCACTTCATCCGACGTGGGTTTTATAACACTTCCTAGAAGAGTAAATACAACGATAACTCCACCATTCTTCTAGCAGGGTTAATTGAAATTTGCTTTTTATTATTGGCAGTTGGGATGCATAAAACATATGATTTCACATACAGATACACTTGCGGTTTATAGTACTGCTACAGGATTATGTCCTACAACTACGAGAATCCTCATTACTTCTATTTCATGCGATTGTTGTAAAATAGTAAAGAATATGTAGAGTGCCTATGTAATTATGTACACTCTATCATTGAGTCCTCAGTCCCCTCCTTACCTGTGGTTTTGCTTTCCACAGATTCAGTTACTTGCAGTCAACTATAGTCCAAAAGGAGATGACCCTCCTTCGGACATGTCTTCAGAAGGTCTCCAGTAACCTAATGCTACATCACAACACCTACGTCATTCACCTCATTGCATCTCATCATGGAAATATTTTATCATCTCACATCATCACATGGAGAAGGGTGAACACAGCGCAATAAGCTATTTTGAAAGAGAAACACCACATTCACATAACTTTGATAACAATATACTATTATCATTGTTCTATTATTGTTATAAATCTCTTACTGTGCCTAATTTATCAATTAAGCTTTATCATAATGTATGTATAGGGGAAAAAAACATAGTACATATGGAGTTTGAAACTATCCACAGTTTTAGGCATCCGCTGGGGGTCTTGGAACGTATCCCCCACGGAAAAGAAGGAACTTCTACGTTCCAGAAAGAACTCCTGTTTTGACTAGGCATCCGTGAGAACCAAATACTTGGCTCACATTTTTCTACATTTGGCGAGTGGAAGAATTTTCCACAGAGTACCTTCTGGCTCCATGCATTTCAAAACTTGTTTCTCTTTCACTATTCATGTATTTCTGGTGCTGGGTACCCAAAGAGACATGCATACCTTAATTGACCCCCTTGTCCTGCCCAGGGAGATAACTGAGTGACCAACAGGAGATTCCTAAGAGTTATTCGTACACCAGAGTGGCCAGCAATAACCTAACAATACATAGAAGTGATTGTCCACCATATATGTATTTTCTAATAAATCTAAACAAAATGTCTTTCCAACTTAACTTCCTCCAAGCTGGGTCCCCAAAATGTCACCCATCACCACCCAATGATAAGGGGAAAAAAAGATTTGTCTTGTTGTTTTTAATTAAAATATCTTATTTTTGCTAATTTTGCAATGACCATGTGGAGGTCTCTCCCAGAGCCTTAGAAAGGGCCAGTGCTGGTGAGGACCCCTAAAGCTAAACTTCATTACCGGTCACAGAAATTCTTTCAGCTCTTCTTGCTTTGGAGTCAAGGGACTTTATTCCATGTATGAAAAAAAACACGAGCAAGGGTCTGCAGAAGTGTGGAGGACCGATGGGCTCCTGGGGCAGCAAGTCAGATAGGAGAAGAGTCCCAGTCATTAAGGCTTCTGAGATCCACCTCTGAGGACCTTGAAAGGGCAGGCAGAGAAAGAACAAAGAGCAAAAGGCTTTCGGCAAGAAAGAGACAAAATGAAAGCATTTTAAAATATTAGTTCGAATGAATACCTACTGAGCCTTAGTTATTTGCAGAGGTTCAGAAAAGCATATAGATCTCATCAGGAGGTAGAACTCAATATGGCAAAAAGAGCTTAGATAATAGAGCAGGGAAGTTCTATCTTCTGAAAATACGCTGTTTAAGGCAATCTGTGAATCCAAGGGAACATTCCCTTGAAATGCTCTGATGATGTCCCATAGGAGAATCATCTGTGAGACCTCGAACACAGAGGGAATACGGAAAAATTGTTGCTATGGTCCTCCTAGGATACATATCCAGGCGGAATTTTCAATCAACAAGTTGTCTTGTTCTCAGAAGTCACGATGCAAGTTACGGATGCCAGAGAGAAATTCTGCTCCTATGGCCAATGCATTCCACGTGCACTGATGTCCCCCGGCTGTCATCAAGAGCACCCCACTTGTCCGGGAGGCCACTGCATTATCTCCTGAGTGCTACTAGACAATGGCCAGAGAAGACACAGGACTAGCCAGGAGTGCCCAGGTTCATGGAGAAGTGGGGTGGAAAAATAAGAAATGGGTCCACAAAAAGAGAAAAAAATTAACCAGAATATCTGGGTAAGAAGAGAGGGAATTGTGTTACTCTGAATATCAAAAAAGATACAGCCATATTTTATATCGTAAGTCAGTGCAATGGAACATATGTATTTTATATGTTAAGCCAATATTCCCGGATTTTAAATTACTTACTTCAGTGTCTGTTGACTGTTTATGTGTGAGTGTCTATAAATATTATTGTCAGTGAGGGAGGAAGCAACGGTCAGGATAGACAATGTGCCTACGCCCGTGAAACTTACACCCTAGTCCAAAGGAGGGCAGAAATAAAAAATGTAAACAGCAGAGGTGCCTGGCTGGCTCAGACAGTGGAGCGTGTAACTCTTGATTGCAGGGTTGTGAGTTTGAACCCCAATCTCTGGGTGTAGAGATTACTTAAAAATGAAGTCTTTTAAAAGGCATTTTAAAAGCACAATAATTTCAGATGCTACATTGCTATAAAAAATATTTAAAATGGTGGCACATGGGTGGCTCAGTCGGTTAGGCATCCAACATCAGCTCAGGCCACGATCTCACAGTTGGTGAGTTCGAGCCACCAGTAGGGTTCTCTGCTGCCAGCAAATAGCCCGCTTTCAGATCCTCTGTCTCCCTCTCTCTCTGCCCCTCCCTGCTCCCTCTCTCTCTCCTATAATAAATAAATATTTAAAAATTTTATAAAATTTAATGTAATAAGATAGAGTTTGTGGCATGGGGAGAAAGGGCACAGCTATTTTGCCTTGGATGACCAGGAAGGACTTCTGTGAGGACTGGATGTATGAGCTGAGAGATAAGAAGTCAGATATCCAATCACCAGGAGCTAACATGTCTGCTTAGGCAAGGACAAAATCCCTGAATCAGAGGAACAGAGGGAAGAACAGTGTCTGAGTAGAGTGGGCAACAGTGAGAACATGAGGGCACAGACATGGCCATCAGATCATTTGCAACCTGGCAGCTATGGTAAGGCATTTGGATTTTAGTCTAAGTGCAATGGAAGATCACTGAAGGGGTCTGAGCAAGGGAGTGACATTACTTGGTTGTGTTTTTTAAAAGATATTCTGAAGGCGCTCTGGGTGGCTCTGGTAGATTGAGTGTCAGATTTTTTATCAGGTCATGATCTCACGGTTCGTGAGTTCAAGCCTTGTGTTGGGCTCTGTGCTGATAGTTCAGAGCGTGGAGGCTGCTTCAGATTTTGTGTCTCCCTCTCTCTCTGTCCCTCCTCCACTCATGTTCTCTCTCTCTCTCTATCTCTTTCTCTCAAATATAAACATTAAAAAAATTTAATTCCTAAAAATTTGACTATAGTTCCAAGGTAGAGTCTTTGATATAGTATTGTCATAAAGAAAAATTATTCAAAAAATGAAGAAATTGAACAAAGACCTAGCTCTTGGGACTCAACTTCCTTTGTTGCCTGAGCAAAATTAAATTTTTGGGTTCAGCCTGATCCAGGCTTCCTGGGACAGCATGTATCAGCAAAGGAGCCTGACAGGCAAAAGCTGAGATTAACAGAGGAACTTCTGACTCCACTACTAGTTTTCCCAGGGAAATAAGTGGCTTCTCCTGTGTCTTATACAAAGTTCTCCAGGAAACAGACTCTGAAATAGACATTTGCTTGCAGGAAGTTTATTGGAGAAAGCTCTCAGAAGCAACAGATGTTGGGGAAGTGAAGAAAGCTAGACTGGACAGAATTCCTATTGCTGGAGAAATCAAACTTGAATAAGTTGACACAAAGGTTTCAGTCCATCTCGTGGAAAGATCTGAAGCTTGGATGGTTCTTCAAAGATGTCCCTTGATCAACAAGTCAGTGAATGCAGACTGCCTCTGGAGTGGAGAGTAACCTTGAGTAAGGGGCTCTCTTCCTCTGGGAGCAATCACTGGGGAAGAACTCAGGGGTAAGCTCTCAGTGGGAAACTTTCCCAGCAGCTGGGGATCAAGTGCCTCCATCCCTTGGAGTTTGGGCGGGGGAGGGTTCTGCGGGAACAGGATCCACCACAATCTGTCAAGCAAAGCAGTTGGTGCTTTCCTTCCACTTGACTGAGAGGAAAGTTATGGACATTCATCGGAGTGTGACCACAGTCAAAGCTTTCCATTACCATGATGGGGCTAATGCGAGGCCCCAGGGAGTTGAGACAATGGGAGATGGGGGAGGCAGAAAGTACAAACTTTGCTGTATGAGGTGGTGGGGAAGGAGAAGAGCTGTTAGTGACCACAGAAGAAAGAAGAGAAGTAGAGATTTGTATTTGTTTAAATAATGGCAGTGATTTGCATATGTCAACAGGATGAGGGAAGAATTAAATAAGGGCACTGAAAATGCAGAAGAGAAAACTAATGGATAAAACAAGCACCAAAAAAGAGAGGCAGCAGAGAATTGAGAGTGCATCAGAAGGTGAGCCTTGAGGGGACAGAGAACTCCAACGTTCAGAGTGGAGAAAAGAAAGACAGATGGAGACAGGGCTGGATGGAGGAGGTTTGAAGGGATCTCTGGCCATGTAGTGACTTTATTATTCTCAGTGAAGTGGGACCCAGAGCCGTCTGGTGGGACTTAGAGGTTCAGGGTAGATTCAAGATTCAAGATAAGAAGGGATGTTCTGAGAGGTGCTTGGGTGGCTCAGTCGGTTGAGCATCCAACTCTTGATTTAGGCTCAATTCATGATCTCATGGGTTTGCGAGTTTGAGCCCCTAGTTGGGTGCCAGTGCAGCAGAGCCTCCTTGGGATTCTCTCTCCCTCTCTCTCTGCCCCTCCCCCATGTGTGCATGCTCTCTCTCGCTCTCTCTCACTCTCTCTAAAAATACATAAATAAACTTTTAAAAAAAGGAAGAGGAAGAAATGATGTTCTAAAATCGCTGCCTTGGGAAATGGGTGAAACTTCTGGGCAGGCATGAGAAGATAAGAACGGGCCAGGAATTACTCAAAGGTGTGGAGCCAGTCTTGCTCTAGCTTCTGGTTTAGGTCTTGCTTTTGGTTTGGGGGCTTTTTCCCAGTAGAAGTGTTCACCTTGGGGCCAGGGACTGAAGAAACGAATGGTTGCGCCCTTCCTAGGTAAGGGATGGACGGATTGGCTGAGGTGGGTGGCATCGGTGAGGAGAGAAAATGGGGCCGTGCTGAAAACTTGCTTGAAATACTTGATCCTGAAGCCCAGGATGGCTAAGGAGGAAAGCGCAGCCAGGAACGGGACTGGTCAACTTGGATAGCTGGAAGGGACCAGGGTAATGAGAAGTTGAGTGGATGTGGCAGCTGTATCAGGGGCTGCTCTCAGGAGGTGAAGGGACACCCCCTATCCCACTTTCTATCAGGAGCTCCACCTTGGAGCCTTGTCAACAAGCAACGGTCTTAGGGTTCAAATCTCTCTGATCCTGCTCACCTTCCTGTTGAAGAAGCCAGTAGACATCTGCCCCACCAGCCTGGCAACTGATGGCCACATCTCTGGTGCCCTTTGACTCTTGGGTCTTGGTGACCCTTTGCTGTCTCCTCAGTGTTGGGCTCCATACCCTCTGTTGTCAGCACCATGAGAAGGTTTCTCATCGTACCTTTGTAGATCAGAATGGGAAAGCATGACTTCTTGACAAAGTGGTGGAGAGACTGGCGTTTCTTCTGCAGGATTCTCTTCTATCCCTCTATCTGACCCTTTCTGCCTAGTGAGAAGACAAGGAGAAGATGCTCTTTGGCAGAATTGATTTTACACCAAGACAAAAGTTGTGCATGCTTATGTAAATGTTGTCCATATGAGATGTGCCCGTAGACAGCCTTAACGAGCTTGAGTTTAAGTAAGCTTGGAGTTACAGATATATAATAGCAAGACTTATGTTTCATAGTATATGTATGTATATACATAAAAAACCCTATTAAGAATCTATTTGAGATTATGAAATTCTTCTGCTCTGAGAGAGCACATTAGTTTCAAGGTGATCTTTATTTAAATGACATTAAACATACAAGGTTATATGAGAATCCTTGTAGGTAGAAACCAGAGATGAATGAGACCATTTTGGTCATTCTGTACTCTGCGATCCTTAGCAGGGAAGTTCTGCCCAATGCCGTGTTACTCATGTACACTTTTCCCAGGTCACTTATAATGGATGCAAGAAATCAAGCGGCCACCAGCTCCTCAGGATTTTCTCAGAGTGGAGGCCATCGACCTTGCTTCAGTTTGTCTTAATTTTGTCACTGCCTCCTGGATATATCATCTCTTGAAATTCCCTAACATATCTTCTGCTTATCATGAGCTAGATTCTAGAATGCCTTCAAGAAAAGAGGGAGGAGGGAACGCACTTCCTTGTATGGATGCTTCGGACAAAAAGGCTCCCATAACCAGCTCACCATTGACCTAAACCACAAGCCATCACAGAGCACCACACACACACACACACACACACACACACACACACACACACACGCCTTAAGGACCAACAAAGAGATCATCCCAGGCCTCACAGGAGGGTTAGATAGCTTGACAGGAGATGCCATAAATAAGTAATTCACTCCCAGGTCCAATTTCTTTTGTTTAGTTTAAGTGTCCAAACCCCACCTTGTTGTTTTATTAATGCAGGTGTCTCATTTCCATTCTCAGTTTCAAAGCTGATGGAATCAGACAAAAACAAACAAACAAACCCAAAAGCCCTGCATCTGTTAGTAGGCCAAAGTCCATCAAACGCCCCATGAAAAGTATGTTAATTTAATTCAGTAAAGGAAAAAATTCAGCGTTGCCTCTAATTTGATTGTTGGGGTACCTTCATTCCTATCCTGCCTTTGCTGCCTCTGTGTTGTTCTACAATGAGAACCCATGCCTGGTCGCAGGGAAAGAAGACTCAACCAATTGGTATGGTCAGCTTGTAAGGTAAAGTTGGCTCTTTCCTCAAAGATGGGTCATTAAGATGAGCCCCAGCCATGTTTCGGTGATGGTAAGAGAGCTCATAGGCAAATTACCAAGGTTAAACTCACCTGAAAACCTGGAAGAGATTCACGGAGGCTCAGAACTGGAAGGAACCTTGGAGATGGTCTCCATCAATCTCTGCCTACAGGCAAGGAAACTGAGACCCCTTCTTAGAGTTCGAATAACTTCTCCAAAACTAGCCTAAACTGGGCAGAGGCAAGAGTAAAACCCAGTCCTCCTGACCTCAACACTATCTATCACCTGAGATTCTTAAACAAATCTCCCTAGTCCTAAGTGGATATAATTTCAGGTGCCAGGAAATTCTCCAAGCCTTAGCATAGATGTGGCACTTTTCCTAAGTCTTAAGTGATACCTTAAGATTAGTAAGCTAAGACAAGATTTTTTATTGAAAAACAAACATAGGTTTATGATGCAGGAGAACACAAAATTTACATGATTTTTAAAAATATTTTTTAATGTTTATCTTTGAAGGAGGGAGAGATAGAGCATGAGCAGGGGAAGAGCAGAGAGAGAGGAAGACACAGAATACGAAGCAGGCTCCAGGCTCTGAGCTGTCAGCACAGAGCCCGACGTGAGGCTCGAACTCACAAACTGTGAGATCATGACCTGAGCTGAAGTTGGATGCTTAACCGACTGAGCTGCCCAGGCGCCCCTACATGAATTTTTAAAGAGAACACAAATCTCAAAGGAAGTGTATTCTTGGGCAGCTAGCTACTGTTCAGGGCACATAATGGGCTTGTTTACTAAGCACTGCTTTCCCTCACCCTGCCTGTAATGCCCAGCAAACCCTTCCAAGGACCACTTCAGCTAATTTTGGTCCTGGACATTCTGCTCTATCCCTACATTACCAAGTACAAGTGTTCATACGTACTGGAATCTATTTTGCTTCCTTTCTAAATAGAAAGGGGCGGGAACAGCCCCAGTGTCTTAATACATTGAAATTTTATGCCTTCTCTGCCATATTCTTTTGGGATTATAGGTCAATTTAGCAATAGTAAGCCTGGGAAAGAGTAGCTTCTGTATATATTTTTAAAGTTTATTGGGGCGCCTGGGTGGCTTAGTCGGTTAAGCGTCCGACTTTCGCTTAGGTCATGATCGCGCGGTTCGTGGGTTCGAGCCCCGCGTCGGGCTCTGTGCTGACTGCCAGCTCGGAGCCTGGAGCCTGTTTCAGTCTGTGACACCCTCTCTCTCTGGCCCTCCCCTGCTCACGCTGTCTCTCTCTCTCTCCTAGAAATAAATAAAACATTTAAAAAAAATTTAAAAAAAAACCAGCTTAAAGTTTATTTATTTATTTTGAGGGGAAGGGGAAAAGAGCACAAGCAGTTGAGGGACAGAGACAAGGAGAGACAGAATCCCAAGCAGGCTCCATGCCCTCAGCACAGGGCCCGATGCACGGCTGGAACTCACAAACCATGAGATCTTGTCCTGAGCAGAAATCAAGGGTCTAACACTTAACCAACTGAGTCACCCAGGTGCCCCTTTGTATTTTTTTAAATTTCTCACCTAATTCTACATAATGCCTGATGTTACCCAAATCCACATCTAATTGTTTTACTTCATCGTAATTAACTATCATTCTCATGTTTTAAGGAGTAAACACAATTTTTCCCCTTTCATTTAATTTACCTCCTGTCCTGCAAAAGGAATTTCTCTTAGTTTCGTTAAAGCATCTGTGGTATGAAGCCTCTGCTTTCTGAAAGCAGCAACTGAAAGAGTGTCTGAACACTTCTTATACAACAGATACAACTATTTATGTAAATATTCCTGATTCATTCTGTCCAGAGAAAACAACCTACAAAAATGAATCTGTATAGCTCTTCCTCCCTAGTTACTTTGTGATGCATTACATTGATGGCTCCAACTCTTTACCCCTTTGTGTAGCCTTCCACTTTCCCACATGACTTCACAGCCTTTCCTATCAAGTGGCAGAATGTACTTCCCCTTTCTTTGAGTAGGCGTCTAGTCATGTGACTTGCTTTGGCCAATGGAGTGTTAAGAACGTGGCAAGAGCAAAGTTTAAAAGGTGCTCTTGTGTATCTGTTTGCTATCTTGTCCCTCTGCCATTACCATGAGAAGAACATTCTCAAGTTAGCCTGCTAGACCCAGGAAGAGGATGAAAGACAGAAGGAGCAGACCCACCCCCACTCAGCTCCAGATGTCTGAGTGAGTCCAGCCAAAACCAGCAGTTGGTTATTTTACTTGAGAACTTTGACGCTCTCTTGCTCCTGGCTCCTGGCTTCCACGTTTTGTTGAAAACTCAACTGTTACTCACATTGTTTCCTCTCTTACTGCTTGCAAGATTTTTTCTCTTTTTGTTTTTCAGCAGTCTTACTGGGATATGCTTAGATATGGTTTGATTTATATTTATCAGACCTAAAATTTTTAGTGTTTCTTAAATCTGTGGCTTGATGTCTTTCGTGGTTTGGGTTTTTTGTTTATTTTTAATTCTGAGACGTTGCGTTTGCCCCTTCATCTCCTTCTTTTTCCAAACTCCGACATAATATAGATGTTGACTTTTCCTCTGTATGCCCTACATCTCATACTCTTTCTTGTTTTCCATTTTTGTTACTCTTATTGCTCTGGGATTCACTATGGAGATTTTCTTATGATTTACTTTTCATTCACTAATCCTCTTTTCATCTAATTCGCTCATAAAATCATCCACTGAGCTCTTAACTGCAACTATTATATTTTTTTTACTTCTGAAATTATCATTTGGTTCTTTTCTATTTTTTTAATGTTTATATATTTATTTTGAGAGAGGGAGCAGGTGAGCAGAGGAGGAGTAGAGAGAGAGGGAGAGAGAGAATCCTAAGCAGGCTTTGTGCTGTCAGCACAGAGCCCAAGCGGGGCTCAATCTCACAAACACACACACAGAGCTCAACACGGGGCTCGATCTCACAAACCCATGAGAGCATGGCCTGAGCCAAAATCAAGAGTCAGACATTCAACTGACTGAGCCACCCATGAGCCCCTCATCTCGTTCTTGTCATGTTTTCCATTCACCTGTCAAAATTCTTATCTGCATTTATAATTTTTTTCTGAACATTTTAAACCTTATCTGATAGTCTGTTATCTGTAGATGTACCTCTACTTGTATCACTTCTCTTGAGGTATTTTTGCCATGTTATATTATCTCTCCAGGTGACTGTTTGATTTTTATTTTGTGGAACACTACATATGAAAGATGTAAGAATGATAAAGATGTTGTTATGTTTTGCATGATGCTATCTTCCTACAGAGAGACTTATATTTACCTCTAACTGGCTGGGGCTAAAGCATTAGCAATTCCAGATTACATTGACCCAATCAGATACTGAGATGATTCAAAACTGGTCTTATTTCTGATCTACTCATCCTCCTAAGATAAAGTTCTTCAGGGTCTCAACCCTAAGGTCAGGTGAGCGTTACCAGGGAGTTCCCCATCCTTGGCAGGTGATGATCTCGACTTTTATTTTTTTTGTCCTTCTAGATTTCTGAGTCAGAGGAGTGCTTTTCTCAGACTCTCAGCTGCCCCTATGAAATCAACAGATGCCTCCAGGAGAAAATACAAATACTGAGGCCAATTCTCTGAGGTTCTTTCCTGTTCCAGATTTGGCCCTATAATTCCTCAATGGTTTAGTATCTATCTTGTGTCTTAAAACAGATTCTCTATTTGTTCTCAGTGGGAGAAAAGAAGGGAATTATCTAAGAAAGAATATTAAGATGCATCACAAGTGTTGGAAACCAGAAGACAACAGAATGACATTTTTTAAGTAATGAAAGAAAATACCTGCCAACCTAAATTTTACATCTTGCAAAAAAATGTTTTTCACACTCTAAGAACAAAAAGAAGTTGTTTTTCAAAGATTTAATATTCAATATCATAAAACACTAAGCAAAAGAAAGCGGGTATCATTCTCCCAACATCTGGCAAAGTAAACTTGAAGGTGAAAAATATTAATAGATATAAATAGAGATGAAATATATAATAATTGTAAGCTTTTATGTACTCAATCACATGATTTCAGAATATATAAATAAAAATTTGACAGAAATAAAGAAAAAAGAGACAAATCCACAATCATAATGAAAAAATTTAGCACCCCCCTCTCAGTAACTGGAAGGTCAAGTGGGAAAAATATCAGGAGGGACATAGAGAATCTGAACAACATAATTAATGCACTTATATCGTTTGGGATATATAGAACACCCTACCTCATAAGAGTAGACTACACATACGTGTGTGTATTCAAATGTATAAGAAACATCTATCAAAATTAGCCATTTGCTGGTCCACAAATCAGGTCTCATTAATATTCAGAGATTTTAATCACTCAGGATATGTTTCCTGACATAACTAA